ATTGTGCGACTCGTGGCAATGCTGCGATGACACGCGACGCGAAAGACGCGAAAGCCGCCCGCGGCACGATGACAGCACCGACAACGCACTGCTACTTTACTGCTCGAGTATCGCCGCGCAAATGATAACACGTAAGAAAGGAATTTGAGCGTCTCACCCCACTACAGTTCTATTCAAGTGTCTTTGTATAAATGATAACAAAGCCGTGATACATAAACAATGTTTACGCGCGCCAATGTTTACGCCGCCAAGGCTAAGTACCATGTTAGGTATTGTCCTAATTCGCTGCCGAAATAGTTTACGTACTATAAAATATATATGCAAAATATTAAATTATATAAGTATTTCAAATTATGGATCAATTATTTATTAAATGATTAATGTATCACGGAGCTTATCATTATGTTATTTTACGATTTAATTGTTTTACAACACGTTCTTAATAAATGATACACACAAAATAAATGGCCCGCTCTTACAGTTTTTCTTTTTCTAAACGCGATTGCGGCTAGTATTAAAACATAATTTACTATAATTATTACAATTAACGATTAATTAATTTTTAATAAATGACACAAAACTATATTCCAACGATAAATTTTTAACGAATCGCTATTCTTTATTGTAGCGAGTAAAAATCAAAGCAAAGGGGATAAAAATTATAAATTTTATTATGATTCTTTTATTATCAATACTTACGTATAATAATTATTCTTCTAACGATGCTTAGAGTCAAATATATTTTGTCCGCTTTAAATTTTTCTAAAATGCAAGCATAATTATTAATTAAACGATTGCTATATCACAATTTTTAGATAACGTTGTTGTAACAAATAACGCATGATTTTGTCGGATGACAATTCATGACAATCGTACTCTTCGCGTGTTGCTCTCTTATAATATAATAAAATGTGTATTTTGTGTGTGATAATTCCGCGATTGGGGGTGCCATGCAAGGTATCTCGGGTATTTGACTAATCATAAATGATCATATTTTCGCGAATAATTGTAAGTACCATGAGGGAACAACAGATAAGATAACCAAGATAATAAGATAAACAAGAGAGGAAAAAGAGGTCCGGAAAAAACATCGGACGATGGACGGAGTAATGGTATATCTGGTAATTTATAAATTATTTATCATTTATATATTTTTCAAAATAGATATATTGCTGGTTCTTTTTTTATTTCCTTGATAGTGACTCTTTCTAAATTAATATACGTGTAACATAATGCATATATAAAATATTTCAGAGATTTTATTTTAAAATACTTAAAATATCGGTAATAAAAATCTATAATAAAATATATAT